CATACAGGGGGAGTCACTAAGCGCGCCTACAATTCTTTGAGGATTATACTCTAAAATTATTTTTAGCTCTACAGAGTCTTCTACTTTTAGGGCGTAATACACAACTTTGTTTTTTTTTTTTTAATGAAACACCCTATATAAGTATTTTTACATATTGCCTTCGACCTTTCCGTACACTTTAAAACTACAGTTTATTTTTGAAATTCCGATGCTACGTTGCCACGTTATTCCAATTTTCTTGAATTTGTTAGCAGTGGAAGGATTCACAAAAAATCGCAGTTGGGTTATTTTAAAATCTATGTTACTATATTTTGTGGAGAGGTGAATAAAAATATGCGCTTTGTTGTGGTATAAATGAAATTAAACTTTCATATATAGAATGTTTATAATTTTTTTTATTATTATAATCTGTAGAAGCAGTATTTTAAATTTTGACAAAGATTTTGATAAAGTTCAGAGATCTAGGCATAGTTGTGTCATTGCTTCGAACTCTTACAATTTTGTTCTGACATAAATTTAGAAAGTGGAAACAAAGTTTTCAAAAAAATCTCTATATCTGAGGTGTTTTTCCAACAAAAAAAAAGAATTTAGAATCGAAAAATTAAAAAATTTCTTGAAACCTGGCTCTTAAATAGTATATATTATTGTGGAACTTGCATGATCCAATCAAAACTAACAATCTTCACTGTAACGAAGCAAAATTTTGGCTGACCGCAAGCCGCGACAAGGGTACCGATGGACAGGGGATTTCGTGACAATCGCGCCGCCCCGACGCCACGTTTTTGGGTTTCCAGGCCCTTTTGAACCGTACCATAAATACTGAGTTCAGTTGATTCGCCGCCACCCGAAAACGTGAGCGGATGTGCGAAATTATCTGAGGTCGAAGTAGGCTAGAACCGGTGTGAGGGTTCTAGGTCAGGTCAATTGGATATCCAGTGATCCAGAACTCCCATCATATAACCCTTCTGGGAAATTAGTCTGTGGATGAACGGTCTTGAACTAGGCTGCAGACCTAGTTTTGGATGCGCGTTTTTCGAAGGCTACTATTCGAAATTTATGACCATGAAATATTTTTTTACTGAAATGTATTTATTACAAGTGTGATGAATTGATGATGCATTGGTTATTTAGGTACTTAGGTCGGTCAAAATTTGTCATAGTTTAAGCCAGTGGAAGCCATATTTAAATCAAACTAGAAGATAACTTCAGACATCGTTTGGTGAACTGAAATAGCCGGAAAGAAAACAAAAATCTAAAACCAAGATTACCTTCAAGTACCATCAACTATACCAACCATTTTGGTCATTTTTGAATTGTTTTGACAACCCTGTCTGGAGAAATTAATTTTTTTTTTCAGTTCATTTTCTTCAAATAGGACATCCTATATTTTATTATTGCATCTTATCTATTTTTGTCAGGGCCGGCGCTAGAGAATTTGCCGCCCCGTGCAATGTTTTTTTGCCGCCCCCTCAATAAAGTTAACAATATAAACTACCTACTACATAATTAATTTTGCTACCTTCAACTAAAATTTATTAAATCACCTAACTTTTGTTTCATCCAATTATTTCTGTTTCTTGGCTTTTGGTTAAATATCCTCGTGTAAATTCAACAAAAAATAAATTCGTGGTAGGTGGTAGGTATGTATATGCAGTTAATTGATCATTAGATAGATATGTACATCTATTTACACGGGGAAAACTTGTTTATTTAAAACATTACACAAACACTTAAAATTTAACTGAGAAAAGTCTCACCTTGATTGCTGAGAAGACTTGCACAAGTTCTTTAATTCTTTATAGTCCACATTTTGGGCTAGTTCATGTTCAATTGAAATTGAGACATTCTTCAAGAGAACCACTTTGTTTTTTTAACTCAGTTTCTCAAGCAAGTTTTCTTTTACGGTACACAGCATCCGAAAGACGATACCGTTTCAAGCGATTTCGAAAAATACGAAGCAAAGACACAACACGTCCTAAAGTCGATACAAAACTGAGCTTTAATTGAAACTTTTCTTCAAGAATCGAATCATCTTACAAAAATAAATAAATTTAAGTACTTTGAAACAAGTTTATTAACCATATACAAAATCGGTTGTTTAGGAGAGCGTCACGCTTAATTCTTTTAAGTATCGCTCTGGCGACTGAAATATGAGTCTATTTTAGTGGAGGAATGATACGGTTGAAATTTTTCCCACATAAGCATTATAATTGTTTTTCTTGTTTGAGTTTGATTGCTGTTATTTTAAAAATTAGTTTTTATTATCGAATTTCGCCGCCCTTCAAAAATTCGCCGCCCCGTGCAATTGCACGTGTTGCACCGTCGGTAGCGCCGGCCCTGATTTTTGTTCTCTTTCTTTTTTGTTACGTATTTTGTATATTATTTTTAAAATTTATATTTACTGCTACTTTTCACTTTTTTTAGAGACACATCGACATATTAGAAGAATGAGAACAAAAAATAGAGTAAGGTACAATAATCCAATACAGGTGTTCAACTATTGTTGCTTAGTAGTAACTCACCATGTATATGAGAATCAGGGTACATATTCAAGGGGAAGACTTTTGCGAAAATTATTAAACTAATTTTTATTGAAAAACTTGAAGATCAGCTTTTGAAGTAGAACTAAATTTTTTAATTCCTGCAAAGTAAATTTGAACAATTCTTAAAATCGAAATTAAAATTAACACGAACTAAACGAATTCACCGAATGAACAGAATACACCCTTCACAAATTATATCATTTTCGAGCAGTACTCCAAAGGAGAATGACTCTTGTTGAATATCCTACGTGCGTTTTATCCATGCAAGATAAATGTTTTTTATGCATGTCGAATTTACCGACTCTAAATGGATTTTGTTTACTCGGGTGCGTTTGATGATTGTCACCATGCTACGCTCGTTCACTGCACTTGAGTACTCAACGTAACGTAAAAACGATATACAACAGACGAATGCTATTAGATTTATTAATATTACACGTATATAAACAGTGAGTATCCTTGAAACACCCCAATTAGGAGATATAAGCATACAGTTATGTCAGACATTGAAAATAACCGGAAGGCACTGTTTATGTTTATTGAAACCAAGATATTTTTAAGCATATCTTCCGTACATGTGTTGTCATCGCTTTCCTCATGCATAGCACGTTTCCTATGTCTATTAAGGGTGTTTCTACGCTACAATCGTAAGAATAGTGCCGATTGGTTTTCCATAAGAATGTGTGGTAAAATAACCGGTTGAAGCACTTAAGATAAAAACTAATTGCTGGTTTATTATACATAGTTTCGTAAGAGTTTTTCGTGATTTTAAAATAAGAAGGATCGAATTATGTTTGTATAGTTTTATTTTTTCTATAACATTAAATAAATTGACTAAAATCCTTGTCTTAAAATAAACGCTATACAAACTTTTTACTTGCTCTCTTTTTTATGCTGATGTAAATTAGTCGATTTTGTAACAAAATTGTCGAATTTTTGTTTAGTTCTTATGTTATAGGATGAAAATAAATGAGGTGTAGTTATTTGTTTGAATTTGAAAATATTAAGATATTGTAGAGTAAACGAAGATTGATAATTTGGCAAGCGCGGGAAAGTTTTTAAACCATGTAGTTAATGTCAAAATTTACATAGAACACTGAAGAACTCGGTCTAACAACACCCTTTTGTTGCACCGAACCGATAATAGTATACGTAACCTAGTAACAAAGGAATGTTCCTCTTCCGCGTTTCTATCCCAAACTTTTTCACCGGTAAATAATTGCCATCCCAAGCAATTTGTAATGATCATGATCTCATGTAGCTTCTTAAAATGCAGCAGCGGTTGACGGGAAAAAAATGATATTAATAAATGATTGCCATAGGTGCGGCTGTTTTCAGGTAAAAATGATCATGGCCAAGTACATACAAATGAGTCACATAAACAAAGTTCTGCATTCGCAACCACGAAAGTAGGCTGACCAAACAAAATCAGTGTTAATCACGATCCTTTGACAGATTAATTAATTATTCTTAATTCACCAATAGCGATTGAAGAAAAAACACCTGGTCATTATGCCATAATTCAATTGTCAAACTTAAATCTCAAGAAGACAATTCTAGTTTTACACCACACTCACCTAATGAATCACAAATATCTATAAATCAGTCTGGTTAATGTTGCAGAAAATGCGCGGGAGGCAAACCAGCGGGTGTCGATTGTTATCACCGGTAATATTTAACATGTAATTGACCGAAGGCTGGTAGCTCACACCTAACAAATTCTTTCTTTTTTAGTTCCTGAGCGATAGCTTGGAAAAGTATTGCAGTGGAGTCGGATTGACCAATGTCTAGTTTGTTCAAAAACTTTCCAGTTTACGAAATCGATAACCCTCTAAACTGAATTAATTTTAACCATCTTCTCCGAAATACTAGAAAAGAATCTTAGTTAACTAATTAAATACTTACTTCGAAAAAATTAATTATTTTCTAATTGCCAATTTGGATTTAGGGCAAAGTTAAAAACCGTAAACGCAATTTGGACATTGATTGATGAAATACAAAACACATTTGAAAAAAATTGGCACGCAGTTCGTTTTTTCTTGTCCTGCTAAAAGCGTTCAGAGTTCCCCAGGGGTCTGTACAGGGACCATGTACATTCTTACCCTATATAAATGATGTATCACTTTATCAAATTTGCGAATTATTCAATTCATTAGTAGATTAGTTGAGGTTTTATAAAAACTAGATGGGACACAATTAAGGGCAAATGGTATGAACATGGTGACTCCAAGCCAAAAGAAAATCATAAGAAACTTGGACAAACCTAAAAAGATACTAAGAATTAAAACCCATAACTATGTTATAATTTGTAATGTATTCCTCTTGTGTACCTAATTCCTCTGAGTGCAGATCATCGACAGAATCTGTGTTGAATTGCCCCTACCAAAGTTGATATGTTTATCTCCTCTAAACTCTGATGACGTCATTTCAAATTATTAACGAATTCATTTTTTCCAGAAGTCGAACTAATGGCTTCGAAGGTAAACCGCCCCACTTGGCCAAAAACACCCCTCTGGCCCTTACAATGATGCCGTCACGTTCCACCCCGAACCTGCAGCAGCCCAGCCGTGACAAGAACCACCCGAGCATCTACTCGTACCTCGAGAACCCGAATTTCTCGCCGAAGCAGCCGCCGCCCCGAGATGACGACTCGCCACCGCCAGCGCCACCTGTCCGGGACTCGTCCAGCCTCAAGTCCATCAAGTACGGTCCTGGACACGAGAAGTTCCCTTCGTGGCCGGTGCCCGCCGCCGCTGAGACTCCGCCAGCCCTTCGCGGACCTCCCGGGGGCGGCTCGCACAGGTCCAAGTCGTGGACCGACCACACGAACTACCCCAAGGAGAAGGTCGTAGCGTACACGCGACCTTACATGAAGAGACAACACTCTTCTTATACGCAACAAGTGAGTGATTAGTAGCTTCATTATCAGATCATCAATCACTTCTACAGGTCGTCCGCAAAAAAGACGCAGCACAATGCATATTAATGGCGAGGTTTTTGTAACGGATGAGAGAATAAGAATAGGGGCTAATTTGTGGATTATTAAGAATGGGCGACCGGAAACCGTTCTTAATTTGAGACACATGTATTAGCTTGAGAAATTCGGCGTAATTTGGCCTACTTAAGTCGACAGGGTGTCTCGGATTAGGCGGACATCGACGACGGGAGTCGTATAATAAGGTTTATTATACGGATTGACGAATATATAATTAATCGTGGGGAGAAATCAAAATTAGTGGCGCTGTTTGATGCCGAGGTAAAAACTGATCGACGAAATTAAAAGTTTTTAAACAAATTGGGATAATGAGCGAGCAGGTTCACTGTACGTAATTATCATAATTTTCTTAAATTAAAGTTCAACACACCTCCTACATGTCTTTAGCTGCATTAATGGTGATGTAGGTAGATGCCTATTCTTCATATATACACTGTCTGCGGTTACATCATTTGTTGCTTCTTGATAACGAGTAACGGTCAAAAAATTCCAATTTTAAAGGATAGCTTGCATTATTTTTAAATTTGGGAAATTCCGATGATCACATAGTGTGCGTCTAAATTTTATAAAGTCCGTTTAAGTCTCCTATATAACATTTCGTTCGAATTTCGGGTGCATACTTAATATTTCGAAAATGTTATCACATATATTCTTCTATTTATTAGACAGGGTTAAAACTGCAATCTGTTACCGTTCTCCATGCAGCTACTGACATCTCATTCAGGGCATAGTCACGTTCTAACTGTGTTTAGTTCAGTGGCTTTAACTCTTAGGAATTTGTATCAAAATCTAGAGTTCCCTAGAGATCCAATTTAGGTCCATTGCTATTTACTCTTTTCATTAATGACTAGTTTTACTTGCAATGTACTCGTTTATGCTGATAATACCTGTTACAAGGAAACTAGCTACTTGGTACTGTGTAAACCAGCTTAAGATCAATCAGATTGTACACAAGTATTTCTTGCACATGAAACAACTATTGAAGAAATTGCACCGTTCGAAAATTCGTTGTTAATCGTATTTTTGTTTGCAGCAAAAACTCAAAACTGTGATGGAACGTTGTGAGAAAATCCCCCCCGAGACGTTCGAATCTCGCCACAGCAAACACAGCGACCTCTTGTACTTATCTCACGTTGATCGTGACGGCAAGCCCCTAGGTGATATGGACTACATGGTGCCATCCCCTCCGGAGAGGGACATCCCCAACAAACCCCAGTTAACGCAAGTCGATCTCGAAGAGTACGCTAGGTCGTACCAAGAGCCCGTCAAGTACTCCTACGACTCCTCGCACCTCACCAAGTCCGGCTTGGAGGAGTTCATGGAGTACACCCGCAACTACGAAGACTCCCTTTTTAACTCTATGGGGTCCAAGCACGAGCTGACCCACTTTCATCAGAAGCAGTTGTCCTACGCCCAGTCCGAAGGGTACCACAGCTACGTGTCCAGCACGGACTCCACATCTACGCCTTTTCTGGATAGGCTGAGAAGGGACAGCGAGGCTGTGGTCACTAGGACTTCCACTTGGGATGAACCGGAGCAAGAGCAAAGCACTAGGAGGGAAGGGAGAGACAGTGTAGTGACTACTAGTTCGGGTTCGGTGTCGTCGAGTGAAACTTTAAAATGGCACGGGTCGATGAGTGACGTTTCGGTTGCTAGTAGTTCTTTTACGCATCTTGCCAATTCTTCGAACTCTTCGGTCTCTAGACAGTTAATTGCTCATAGTGCGAGAGTACAAACGCCTCAAAGACATCACTCGGAAAGTGTCTTGTATATGGGTGCTGAAAATACGGACAGTTGGAAAGATAAAGAGAGTAGAAATAACAATGCCAATAAACTCAAACTGTTTCCTGTGAATACTTACACTGTACAAGACTCAGATCTGCATAGTAGTAGTACCAGTAGCGTCAATAGTAGTACGAGCAGGTGGGCATATTTTGTTTTTATTTTGTAATAATACTGCACTTTATGGGTAAATCGTACCACTGTATGAAGAAATTTATCAAATTCAAGCCAGACATGTAAAGTTCGTGTGAATGACTTTGATTACCTTGTTATTTTACAGTTATTTTTATACTTATTCATACCAAGGTGCTCCGTTGCTTATGGCAATTGGGAATTTCCACGTATAACTAAATTAAGCAAATTTAAAACTACAAACCGCGTACCTTTCGGATTTTCGATTCATTTGCTTGTCCAGCACTAGTTTATCTCAAATAATTAAAAACAAATCGGTTTGACACAACCGTTCGGAATGTTTAAACGCATGCGAGAGAAACCGGCTGGTGACAATTGTGAATCCTAATGTCAAAAAACTATTTCTGCGCTTGGAATACCGTGTGTAATGAATTTTCATGTCCGTTAGTTTCAGGAAGTAAGACTGTCTGTAAATGCCATGTTAAATTTCAAACTGAAGGAAGTCTTGCCTTATTCATTAAAAGATTAGTGTAATGTGGAGAATAATCCATAAAACATTGTTATTAAATTGAAATAAAAGCCTGGTAGTCGTAATCGTAAAATTTGAAATAAATCGAATCTGAAAATAAAACTCATCAAACTATGTGTAGAAACCATAAAATACCACATATGAATCGGCGTAGGCAATGCTATCAACGTAACAATGCTCGGTGTGCAATAAATTAGCACAAGAAAAATAAAAAGACTATAAAATCCGTATTAAGTTGATCCTGTGAGCATTCGTTTTCAATAAGAATGCCCCACAAGGAGTAATTGTGCCGTTGTGGCGTGTGAAGTAAGATTAGGTTTTGAAATAAGTACTATGTTGTTGACATTGACTTTACAAACTTCAGTTACTTCATTCGGTGTAACTTCGTGTGTTATTCATTGGAAAACAGTATACTGTATATAGTAGCAATGTTAACATTCATTGAGAATGGCAGAAGAAAAATTTTGATTAAGCTGCCATGACTTAACGTAAAAATATGGATTGTATTATTTTCCTCTTTTGCGCTTTAACACTGTCAACTTGGTACAAAACTTGCTGGCTTAGTATGATGGTATGTATTTCAAACTCTGTGTTTAATTTATAGAAAAATTTGGAAACACTTTCATGAACAAGACTGAATTACAGACGCGTCAATAATCACTTACCCAAATTTCATTATTCTTAAGTTATTTTTTGACTTTTTCCTAATAATTTATTGTTGTAATTTCAGGCTATCGTCGTCGATCTCCATGAACCCCGTTTTGTCCGTCGCCGACAGAATAAGCGAACTCGAAAAACAACAGAAATACTCATACCTAGATCCGGATAAGAAACACAAAGTTCCTGACCCCACTCTCAAAGCCATCCAAAAGAAAGCTCTCTTGTCATTCTACGAACGACACCAAAACCCCAACAAAAGCAACCCATGGCGCTCCGAGCCTCAATTAGTTCAACCGCAAGCCCCCCAGCAAGCCATACCTCAGCCGCCGCCACGAGCCAAAGCTCAACTTCCAAGCAGAAGAGCTTCTTCAGCATCGGATTACGCTTCCGGCAACAATTCCAAACGCAGCAGTTTAGCCAGTCGCGAATCGAAGACCACAGAAAGCATAAGCAAAGCGTCCCCGAAACACCAATACAGCAATTCTTGCGGAAGTCTATCTACCGATTTGCTCGGACCCATCATTGTTGGACCGTCGATTTCGGTGGACGACTGGGTCCCGGACAATCCGCCAGCCATACCTCCCAAGAACCCGCATCTTCGGAACGCCTTCCCCGATTTGTTCAACCAGCGAGTGCCAAGCCCGGATCTGCCGCCGCCGTCGCCGCCCACGGTTCTGGAAGATGAAGTTTTCAATAACGACGATCCTCTGCCGCCGCCGCCTCCAGAGTGCGACGAGTGGCAAAAGGAGTTCAATGATAGACTGAAGGAAAACACGCAGTTTGCGGTCCCGCAAGTCCAGAAGAGCAAATCCCCGATTAAACAGACTGTTGGTTTGCCTGAGCAGAGGCATAGTAGTGTCAGATCGTCCATCAAGACGCGACCTGCGGGTCACATTATACACCAAGTGAGCAGCAAGCCCTACCATGGAGGTAAATCGGAGCAAATACTGGGTTTCCCGAATCAGCAAACCTATGCGGAGAGGTCAAACACTAAATATCCTGCTACGCAGAAACTCGTGTTGAACGGGAATGTGGCGGTCAGTCAAAAAGTGCAAAATGGCTCGGATCAGTACAGAGCTGAGCCTTTGAGGCCTCTACATAAGGAAGATTTGAACAAGTCGCCGGATTTGAAAAAAGTACAACGGGCCTCCATTGCCGAAAGTCCAACGAAAGACGTTCCTCCACCTCTTCAGCCGAGACAAGCGAGGGTCAATCAGAGCATGAGAGGGAGAATATCGCATGCTGTGACCTCGAGGAGTTCACCACCGAAAGAGGAGAGGCTGAGGGAAATGAGGTCGCAATCTTTGTAAGTATATAATACATAACATTTTGATCGTGGATTGTGCTGTGTTGGGACATAATTAGATTAATAAGTTGCGTAATTAACTTGCTAATAAGTTACGAAAAGATTTTTGGATGCTGATTACATTGTTTTCATAAATTTATGAAAATGTTACACGTGCGGTTTAACAATATTGTTCGCCGTAATTATTCCAAGGAGTGATTGGTGATCACAAAGTTGATAATAATTGAATGCAAAGTGCTCGTGTAATTGAAATTGTTAATGAGTAAAGTTTAAATTTAACTCGATGTTTCGTCATCTTATGGTTCGATGCGTTAGTTGTGGGTCGGCTAAATTGTTTATGATGCGATAACGTTGGTATTATAGAGCACTTGTTCTTTCTGTATGTTGGGTTGCCTAATCAAGTCGGTGGAATTACATACATCGATGTATATTTTTGTGAATTGTCCCGTTTTCAACTACGTTATACAAAAGTAATTAAGAAACAGAAAATATTTGTATGTAATATAATATGGAAATGATCAACGGAAAGCACCACTCAGTACTAATTAATTTTTAACACTGTATTGAAGAAAAATTGGCATAACATGAACTTTATTTCTGGATATCACAGTATTAAACAACTTTGGTGAGACTCACCTGGTTTTACTACTTTTTGAAAAATTTAGTTTTTTTTTGTTAATTGCACAACACGAAATGTTTGTCGGGTTACGCAATAAGTTGTCAGTTTGAATTGAAATTCAACATTTGGAACTCTGTACCATCTAGAATGATTATTGTTGAACGAAAAAATAATCATTCTGGTCATGTGTATGTAGTTAAAATTAGTTCAGCTGTTGTTTTAAATCAGTTTGACATTCGAATTTACTGGAAAATTTTGAGATAACTTATAAATTTCGCCCATGCACTGGTGTGCTAGGAGAATGTTTTTTTTCCAATTACTAATAAACATTTATATATAACAAATACATTTACGAAACGTTTCAATCTTTCATAGCGTTAGTAATTAAGTTTATGTACGATGTGATTCAAAATAAAGGGAATAAGAGTTGGCTATGAAATCAGTAGTATGGGTGGTATTATTGCACAAATGTGAAAAAAACGTCATTAGTTTAAGGTTATGTTGACACTGATTTGTGATTTACCTCAACTGAGAGCAGTAGTACCACCCAAAGTTGACAGGACCGCCAACCCTAATCCGTTTATTTTACATAAGAAAAATGTTTATGAGGTTTGTTAATTGTAACGCTTATAACTTGTATAAAGCAACATTGTTGCTTTTCCAAATAGTTTAAGTTGCGAGGAAACTTAATAACTGATTTAAATATCATAAAATCTGATAAATCAGAAGAACTTTTTGCAAAAATTGTATACAGTTTTTATTTTCGTTGCAAAATAAATAACCATGGATACTCTGGTAGTGTTTTTAAATAAGTTTTAGCGGAAAAAATCCTCGCAATGTTGTTTAATCGATTAAAAACTGCAATTTCGATTAACATTAGCAATAAAATTTGACAGAAACGTACCAACATGGAAATTATTTTTTTATATGTTCTACATTTTAAAAGTAAATTTGAAATTTCCTAGCGGTTGCGTCAAAGTTACGACGCCATCCATATAAAGTTTTTTAAAGTAAATATGTTAATATGTACTTTAGAAGAGGATATTCTCGTGCATATCTTAATAGCTTAAGTGAAAACACTGATTAAAAAAAGGATTTTTGAGAATGTAACTGGTTCCACATATTTAGTTATTTTTTGTTAACCATACAGAAGTTATTGTACGTTAGTATATCTAACATTTTCTCCTTTTCAAAAACAAAAAGAAGATGCTGCAATTTAAAGTGCTTACAGATTTTTACCAAAAATTGTCGCAAGGTATAACGGCCTTAACACAAAAATAAATATGTAATGTGAAACCTGTTAGTATTGCCAATTTCATGACTTCATCGATGTTTTATGAAGCATACAGTGTTATTAAACTGATTGCGATAATGCAGTAATATTGGTAATTACGCTGTTTCTTGCTAATTAAGCAAGGAACAAAATTGAGAAGTGTAAAAAGATAATGTAAAAGTTGACTGTCTAAAAGAAATTGTGGAAGTGTAATTTTTCAATTTTTTAGTTATGTTCCTTCAATATTATATTTGCATAATGTCCATTTGAAAGAAGGTGAAAATACTTTTGGATTTTTCAGTTATATAACCTTTACTGAACGAAATGAAATTAATATTCATTAAAGAGCGCAAATTATGATGGATCGCTTGATAGTTAAGTTATTAAGAACTCCTCAGTTTACTCATTTTTTCAACAAAGCAGCAATCGTCTGTGGAAATAATGTCAGAGGAGATTTAAAGATTGCTAAATTTTATCTGACGTCTAAAAAATGTTGTTTCTCGTGTTGAAATGCCACGACAAGTAGTGAAGTGTGATATATTATTTATATAATTATTGTATTTCGAAGCAAATTTCATCGTGTGATTCCGCTTGAGGAAATTACAGATATGAGTGTCCTTGCAAAAAACTTGCACACAAGAGAAACCATTTAAACACCAATACTTCTCTTTTAATTATACCGTGCAGAAACCTTTAGGGAGTGTCTTCTAATTGATTGTTACCATTTTTATAGAAAACGCAACCAAGCATTAACTTGAGCAACAACAAATACCAAAAAAGATGAATGGCTTTTTGAAGGAAACGTTAACAGAAATAATCTACATAATGACTAATGAATTTAATAACAGGTTAAAATAATAAATAGCACTTCCCGCGATTGTATCTTGCCAAAATCCCTGCAGAAAATGGCCAAGCTCGCAATCGTGTAATGGCGATCAGTTACACGATTAGATTCGCCTTTCATCTGTTCCATCACCCACGCTTCACCTCCACAATATCACCAACTCGCTGTTATTTTGCAGAATCCACGTTACCAACCGCCATTTCAGCAACATTTCCCTGTATTTATTTATTTATTGCGTCCATTTTCGCCTGAGCGAATCCGAAAATCCGGAACTGTAAAAAATTCAAACCCGACCGTTACGTTTATTTAAAGGACCAGTTTGCTAATCGGTTAAAAAGCGTGACATAATAATAATTCAGCATCTTTAAATAACAAGAGTGACATCAGTGACCAAATTTTACCCGCCCAATCAGTCACGCGAACCAATTTTGTTCTCTCGACCGTTGTTTTAACCGTAATTTCGGGATTTTATAAAGCTGCTGAACTTAGCACATACGGTTCCAGTCGCGCTCCACCTGCATTTCCGGTGGAACCATGGAACCATCGGCGGGTAATAACATGGTAATTATAATATCTGAGCAGGTTATCGTCCCGGGATTATTCCGGGGCGAATGTCAAGGCTGCACATGATCCGTACGAAGATTTAGAAAGTATCAAAATTTAAAACCTCTGCAGATTGCTTCCACGAAAAAACTTTTACTGCAAGTGTAGGTTGCAACTTGCCATTTACCTATTCTGTCCACTTCAATGTCTCGCTTAATAATGAAGATCGTAAACGGCAACATTGATGCCTTGCGATACAATACAAAAAGTTATTATTGATTGTTAAAGCTCCATATTTAAGTTTCGTGCTGCATTGGAGTTTTATTAAACCTTTTAGTTCGTTCTCACGACTCTTACCAACTATGAAAGTGTTTATTTCCGCCAAACGTATGAAGCTGTTTTGAAATACACTCATATCTCATCAGATTTAAGTCTCCTATATAAACTTTTTTTTTGTTCTTGATAATATCACCTACAATTTTTTATTGGTAGGTTATAAAATATAATAGCATACGGTGGTCGCAGAAAGATATGATTGTTGACGATATTACCGCAAGTTTCGTTTAATTATTTTCAAAAAGTTGTTCTAAAGTTAGTAAATTGTAGGTGGGGATGATCAGACAAATTTTGTTTAGCGTTTTCCCATGTGCATGATATTCTTAAAATCCATCTAAAATATCACAACAATCAGTTCAGTAGTTTCCGACGACAGACAGACGGAACGGGAGACCTATTTTTTCATACACTAGAAGTGGGCAGGGTATACCCTATTACAATAATTCTCAAGTTTACTCTCTGAAACTAAAAATTGTAATTATTTTCGCAACCGGTTTATATATTTCCCATTTTCTCTTTTGTGATGTAGATGTATAAATAAGACTGTATAGTAAAATCTAAAAAAGTATGTGTTGATGAAAAGTGTAAAAATTAAATTAATTTTTGAAAATAATAACGTAGGTAAGCAAAGTTTAAGCTGTATATCTAATAAAGTTGAATACTTCAAAAACTATGACATGTATAAGAACAATAATACAACCTTGACGCTACAATAGAGAAAAAAAAACAGTATTATTTAACCTGTGTTAACCGGATGTTCCGTTTTCCTTGGAATTAAAACAGAGCCCGCCTAGAACATTGTCTTTCTGTTCCAAAAATGCTTACTGAGAGCTTAAAACAGTGATGATCTAGAGTCACTATTTATGTGTTACAACATTAATGTTCAAAATTCCCAACCCCTCACCATTTCAAGCCATTAATTATATCCTTCAGCTAAAGCTCTGACCAACAATACTTTCCTATGTACAACCCTGTAATTCAGGTAAATTTCAAAAGGGCACGTGTACGCTTGTCATCACTTTGACGAGGATTTCTACCACCTGGATTGTTAAGGCATTGTTCGTGTAAATCCAAGTGGTCATAAAATTTTTTATGACCCAAAAATAGTGCATTTAGTATACTTGCTTCTGGATTGCTTACTTGCAATATAAGATGTGTTGTTGTATATATAGAATTCCATATTTTCTAAGGTTATATGGGAGCAGTAAAATCGGTTCTTGTGTGTAAGAGTTAAGATAAAATTGATTTTGGCAATTGATATACCCTCTAAGAAAATAAAGGGTGGGTGGGCGGGGCTAATACTTACTAAAATAAGACTGATTTTGGCAAATGATATATCTTATCTTAATATATATAAATCTCGTGTCACAATGTTTGTCCTCAAT